GCAGTTAAAGTTGCTTTCTTTCTTCATCCTCCCCACCACCACCTCAAGCCTACCCAGGGAGGGGAACACTGGCTGGGGAAGGGAAGACCAATGGGGAGGCATGCCTCCCCTTCACTTCCCCAGCTGCCCTACTGGGAGCCACACAATATGTGTGAAAGAGCCGCAGTTTGGCTATCCCTGCCCTATAACACTCCCTTCATGAAGATCAGGTATCCTTCTAGGTGCAGAAATAAATCTTGGATTTAAGAGTGGTCTATCAGATATGCAGATGATACCACTCTAATGGCGGGAAGTGAAGAGGACCTAAAGAGCCTCTTGCTCAGGGTAAAAGAGGAGAGCGCAAAAGTGGGCTTGAAGCTCAACATCAAAAAAACTAAGATCATGGCATCCGGCCCCATCACTCCTTGGCAAATAGAAGGGGAAGTCGTGGAAGTAGTGACAGACTTCACGTTCCTGGGATCCCAGATCACCGCAGACTGTGACTGCAGCCATGAAATTAAAAGACGCCTGCTCCTTGGGAGGAAAGCGATGGCGAACCTAAACAGCATGATAAAAAGTAGAGACATCACCTTGCCAACAAAAGTCCGCATGGTCAAAGCAATGGTATTCCCAGTAGTCATGTATGGCTGCGAGAGTTGGACTATAAGGAAGGCTGAGCGCCGAAGAATAGATTCTTTTGAACTATGGTGCTGGAGAAGACTCTTGAGAGTCCCTTGGACTACAAGTAGATCAAATCAGTCAATCCTAAAAGAAATCAACCCTGACTGTTCCCTGGAAGGCCAGATAATGAAACTGAAGCTCAAATACTTTGGCCACCAAATGAGAAGGGAGCACTCACTGGAGAAGACCCTGATGCTGGGAAAGATTGAAGGTCAAAAAAGACGGGGACGGCAAAGGATGAGATGGTTAGACAGTGTCATCGATGCAACGAACATGAAATTGAGCCAACTTCAGAGGACAGCAGAAGACCGGAAGGCCTGGCGGGAGCTGGTCCATGGGGTCGCGAAGAGTCGGACACGACTGTGCGACTGAACAACAACAACAACGTCTACAGTTTGCCCACCTTATCTTTAAAAGCATTTAACTCATTCTAAAGAGAGCATTTTTCATATGAGGTTTTTTTTCCACCAGTACTCCCCGAAATGTCAAATAATTCTATTGGAAAAATTGGGGAAAAAGTCCTCAAGGGGAAAAAAACTCTTCCCCCTTTTTTTTTGGGGGGGGGTAAATAGGCCTTCACCTCTCTACTACAGCCCATTCTTTTTCTATATTGGCTCCTCCAGAGGTGGGGGGAGACACCATTTTTAAAGTTTTAGAAGTTTTTAAAAGGATTTAAGCTGCAAGCATCTTCTTGCAGAGGAGAATAGGATTTTATGTTGCTAATATTTGGAACTGTACGCTGCTTTGAGCCAGAAGAGAATACTTTTTGTGTTGCAAACAAATACATGTGTCACAGGAATGTAGATGGTTCTCTTGTAAAGCTACTTGATTACTTCTACAAATAGTTACCTTTTAACTAGACTTCTGTAACATAATACAAAAACACAACATCTTGCCTCAGGTAACATGCTGTGTACATTGCTGCTCACACTACCTTTGAATGTTCGTATCCTTAGCCCTATTGCATCCTTCATTGGGTGTCTTATACTAAATGATTACATTTTGTTTTCACTTTCTTTAATCTGTAACCCTGCTTGAGTATTAATGAGAAAGGCTGATTATAAATAATAAGCTTAAAACACACAATAAAAATAAGAGCCCCCTAATCTTTTCCAGAAACATAGCCTAAGATACACTAGTGCTTAAAGACAGGAACAGTTAACCACTAAGAAAGCAAAGCACAAATCGATGAATAAACCTTGTCCTTTTCAGAGTTGTGAAGATAAAACAGAATAATGTCCATACATACATATCACATTTGTTTCTGGGAAAAATGGGTAGAATATAAATATGTTTACAATGGTGGTGGTAAACATTTTTGAAGGACTGACTCCTTCCATATGTCCCTGTGCACCAACTGCAGTAATCAGGCAGCCACCTGCTGGCTCTCCCGCCACTTAAGGGTGGCCCGTCTGGCACTGAGCAGAGCCCAGGCCTTTTTCATCGTGGCTCCAGCTTTGTGGCATGGGCACCCAGAAGAAGTGAAGGGGACTCCCTCCTCGGGGATCCTCAGGAGGCGCTCCAAGGCCTGCCTGTTTGACAGGGCTTTTGAGGGAGTCTGGATTAGCAGGCATCATTTAAGGGGGCGGGGAGGGGAGAGAGATTTGGGGTTATTTTATTTTTGCTTTTAAACTGAAAATCTTTTTAACTATTATTGTAAACCACCTTGAACCATGACGAAAGGTGGTATAGGAATGTTTTAGTAAATAAATAAAATGTATTTTAAATAGGAGTTCTCTTTGGTCACTGCAGAATGATACTGTTTCACCAGCTACAACACATGGTATCAAAGAAATGGGACTCTCTTGAGTAAAATGAAATGAAGAGGGAATACAGAATCAATTTGAGATCTATCCATATACATTTTCTTCCAGAAAGCACTAAATACTGTCCTTATGACAACTGATCTGACCATTTCAGACTGGGGAGGGGGGGAAGCGGTCATCCTCTGGAATAGCAGGGAGCACAAAGCACCTGATGAGGAGGAGGAGATTGGATTTATACCCCGCCCTTCACTACCCAAAGGTGTCTCAGAGCAGCTTACAGACTCCTTTCCTTTCCCTTCCCCTCCCCACAACAGACACCCTGTGAGGTAGGTGGGGCTGAGAGAGCTCTGACAGAAACTGCTCTTTTTCAATGACAGCTCTTATCAGGACTACGGCTTGCCCAAGGTCACCCAGCCAGGTGCACGTGGAGGAAAGGGGAATCAAACCCGGTTCTCCCAGATTAGAGTCCACGCACTTAACCACTACACCAAACTGGCTCTCACCTGAGCTGCTCAAAGTCATGTGACCAGCCCAATATGTCATCACAGCCTGACTTTTTTCGCACATAGGAAAAACAGATGCACACAGAAATGCATCAGGAAGGGTACCGAAATTGAAGTTCTTCCAGTAAGGGGCCTTGACGGCAAGAGAAGCGCTGCCGGTCATTGGTTTCAATTTATTTATTTATTAGATTTGTTTTAGTCACCACTCACCCAGAGGGTCTCATGGCAACTTACAACATTAAAACAAATCACAAATACAAAACATTGACATTAAAATATTAAAGCATTAATGTATTAAAACATAAAAATACATGGCTGCCACTATACCACTATTAAAACAGCCCAAAAAAAATTGTTACCCTCCAAAGGCCCACCTAAATAATTGTCAGCAAGCTGCCAATGTGTTTTCCTATTCGTTATGTATGCCCTCGTATATTCCCTATGTAGGCGCTTGTCTATTCTCTAGGTATGCGCTTGTCTGCTTTCACTTTCCCATGTATGCCTGTTGTTGCAGGAACGTCCGTATCTCTCAAGGCCACAGGTGGTTGCTGGCGGGTAGTAGCTTGGGGTGATCTCATGGTACTATCCATGAGAAGCAAATATGTTATGATTACCCAAGAGCGTTGCTTCCCAGGCTCAATGGCGTGCGGGGGAAGTCCCGCAATTGGGCCTCAGCTTTTTGAATTTCCTATAATCTACTGAGTTCCACGCTTTTGCCTCATTCTGAACAGTGATCCTGTTATGCACCTATTGCTTCAAATAAAGTAAATACCTTTTCTACAAGTGTGTGCTTCGTTGATGCGATGGGAGTCTGTCATTAATTCAGCTTTGCATGCCTTAACAAGTCCGGCAGGGCATGTTCATCATCCAAGACTGCATTCCACATGATAGAGGCCACAACTGAGAAGGCCCTTCCCCTGGTGACTGGTAATTGAGCTCTCCTGGGGCCAGGCACCTGCAAGAGGTCCCTAGATGGTCCAAAGGGAGCACAGGGGGTTGTAACAGGAGAGGTGGTCCCATAGGTATGATGGTCCCAGACCATCAGTGGGAAACCTGGCCTCAGTGGATGGGAAAATATGAACAAAAAATGACAAGGGATCTCCAGGGGCCCATATTATTTACAGGTGATTCTACATTACAACTCAGGCAGAATTTCACTCTTGCAAGTATTAACAGCAGGGCACCTGCCCTTGCCGCGCACCCCCCCCCCACTGGTAAAGTGCCCAACTAGGATTCAGGTGAGCCAAGTTCAAATTTCCACTCTACCATGAAGCTTGCTGAATGACCCTGAGCCACTCATTCACTCTCAATTTAGCTGATTTCAGGGGGAAAGAAGAAAGGGAAAATTATAAACATCACCCTGAGAGAAGGGAAACAACCCATCCCACATTTCCTATTTGAGTTGAAACAGTAATTCAAAAAGGCTTTAATCGCACCATATCTCTAAGCACATACAGGGGACCATTCTGCTGAAGGGAGCAAGGATAGTTTGAATTTTTGTTGCCGTTGTTTGTTTTTAATCAAAACTATTTGAACTCACAGTGATTGCGAACAAGTTACAGGATCCAGTACTATGACAGTGAAAGTCAAGACACCAGTATGGTGCAGAAAGCTAGATATTGTTTCTGAATATGGAGGAACATGGGTTTAGATCTCACTAAACGGGCCAGATATACAAATTCCAGCTTTCTTAGATGAAAGGTGAGATAATATACAATAGTACCAAGAGACAGACTGATAAACAAATGCATAGGGTCGTTGGGGTTGTTTTTTTTTGGGGGGGGGGGGGGTTAAAAAGATTTTTATCCCACCTGCTCCGTCCTCCAAGGAGCGCAACTAATTAAGGTGCTAAACTCACAGAAAGTAACTGGTAGCCCAAGAATTTAAACTGAAATCGGGGCGGGACTGTTTCCCATCTCATAATAAGGGCGTGGGACACTACGATTTATTGCAGAATTGTTCCGTGGAAAGTGGTGTGTGGTTTTTTTTACCCGGAATGTCCTTTAATGGGAAGACTTTCAGTTTTCATAAGCTACAAGCAGTTGTGTACGCGCTCGGCTTTTTCACTCACCCACAGCGGCCACACTCGCATCTGCGAACGGTGGCCTCTACGGGCAGATTCCATAGGCCCTGACAATCGTCCTCGTCCCCCTCCGCTATCGCTGCTTTGTTCCCACTTATCGAATGGTCGGCCATACGCAGGAGATCTTCCCTCCCGTCCGCCGCACTAGACGTCTCTCCCTCCATGGCCGACGAAAGGGCTCCTACCGGAGCGACCCAACTTGCATCCGGTGGCGCTAGGACCCTGTAAGAAGAAAAGAGAGTTCGAAAAGCAAGCACAAGACGGAAGCCGCGAAAAGCTTCGTCACATGATTAGAAAAAGGGCCGCTGGGTTTGAGCTACAGGATTGTTTCACAGCCTCGGTTTGCAGACGCTCGGTTAGTTGGGCGTGTATGTAAGGCGTATTGGGCTCTTCAAGAGTTTTGCGGTTTGCAAGTACAGCTCTTGGTTTGGACTGCTTTGTCCTTTCCTCTGTAAGGTGCACTAAATGTATTTGTTGTTGTTCAGTCGCACAGTCGAGTCCGACTCTCCGCGACCCCATGGACCAGATTATTTAATATGTATTTAATATGAAGCAGTATTAATAAAATGTATTTAATATGAAGCAAACTAAAAGATGTTGGTCCTTTGCACCTTGGAAATGAATCACACCTGAGAGGTCATTCTGGCTCTCCCAGGTCTTGTTGTTGTTGTTCAGTCGCACAGTCGAGTCCGACTCTTCGCGACCCCATGGACCATCTCCCGCCAGGCCCTCCTGTCTTCCGCTGTCCTCTGAAGTTGGCTCAGTTTCATGTTCGTTGCGTCGATGACACTGTCCAACCATCTCATCCTGTGCCGGCCCCGTCTTCTTTGACCTTCAATCTTTCCCAGCATCAGGGTCTTCTCCAGTGAGTGCTCCCTTCTCATTTGGTGGCCAAAGTATTTGAGCTTCAGTTTCATTATCTGGCCTTCCAGGGAACAGTCAGGGTTGATTTCTTTTAGGGGTCCCACACCACTGGACCCTGCCTCCCAGCTGCCAGTCAGCTGGTCAGCAGGCACACTTACCAATAGAAAGAGGAAGACCTGGGCCACATTGCCTGTATTGCACAGGAATTGATCTTATCACATCAGCGACTTCCAGGCAATGCTCTAGTATTTGGGCAAAAACTCTATGGTAGAAGCCAGTTTTACCATTGAGTTTGTGCCCAAATACCAGAGTGCTGCCCAGAAATCGGTGACATGATGTCACTTCCTGTGTAACACTGGCAATGTGGACTGGGTCTTTTTCTTGGTAAGTTTTCCGCCTCCGGTTGTCAAGAGGGACCTGGTAACCCTATAGCCAATATTTTTGTTGTTGTTCAGTCGCACAGTCGAGTCCGACTCTTTGCAACCCCATGTACACTAGGACAGATGAATGTGATAAGAACAATTACCCAGACAGCAATGAATCATAACTAGTTGCACATTTTTATCTGTTCCACTAGACTGGAAAACACCAGAAAAGCCCCTTAAGCCTTTATAAGAACATAAGAGATGCCAATGTTGGATCAGGCCAAAGGCCCATCTAGTCCAACACTCTGTCACACAGTGGCCAAAAATACCAGGTGCCATCAGGAGGTCCACCAGTGGGGCCAGGACATTAGAAGCCCTCCCATTGTTGGCCCCCCAAGCACCAAGAAGACAGAGCATCACTTGCCCCAGAGCCCCTATCTATACCTTGTGGCTAATAGCCACTGATGGACCTCTGCTCCATATGCCTATCTAATTCCCTTTTGAAGCCGTCCATGCTTGTAGCCCTCACCACTTCCTGTGGCAGTGAATTCCATGTGTTAATCACTCTTTGGGTGAAGAAATACTTCCTTTTATCCGTTCTAACCCGACCGCTCAGCAATTTGATGGAGTGCCCACGAGTTCTTGTATTGTGAGAAAGGGAGAAAACTACCTCTTTCTCTACCTGCTCTTTCCCATGCATAAACTTGTAAACCTCAATCATGTCACCCCTCAGTCATATAGGAACAGTAACTGAAGAGTTAATCTGTATGTGCCTCCTATTTACAACATATAAATAGTCCCACTGTTTTTTAAGTTTCATTCTGCAGGACTGTATGTGTACTGGAATATAATGTGTCAACATTACCAAGGAGACACTATTGGCTCCTCCAATGTTTGCAATACAAATATTGCAGAACATTTTGGAAGTTGAAATTGAACATAAATTAATAATTTGCACTACAATAATCTGGGACAAAAATACAATCCATATAAAACTGACATGTACACTTGAATGCATACCATGATTTATACACACAGTAGCTTTATAGTCTCTGATGCAATAAATATTTTGGTGGATTCAGTAGCTATTTTTACTGCTAAATACATCTCCAACTTCAATGAAGTTGAGTACTGTAGGATGGTAGTTTTTTCAGTAGACCTGAAGTATTTCCATTTAGTATTCTGTTGTATTTTGTCCCACCCTTTCTCCAAGGAACTCGGGGCACTTCTCCTTTCCACTGTTTCCTCACAGCTCTGCGAGACGTTAGGCTAACAGTGACTGGGCCAAGTTTACTCAACAAACTTAATACTTGACTGGGGATTTGTATCTGGATCTCCCTAGTTCTTTTCCAACACTCTTACTGTATATGACATTCACAACCTATTAAAATTGCTTCCTCTGAAGAAAGTTCCACTGAATAAGTATTTTTAGAATTTCATAAAACTATAGGTCTGTAGTAGATCTTGTTATGAACGGGATCCTTGGTGTCTGCATTAGCAGCTACTAGAAAATACTTCTACCTGAGATTCTGCAGAACTGCTGTCTGCCAGTAGCCAGTACTGGGCAAAATGGACAGTCTAATTCCATAAAAAGTTGTTTTATAGACAGAAAAAAATCACCCTTTATGAGTGCAACTCATTCCTGTAATGCAGTGTTCTGGAGTATTCTTTGAACACAGTTGGCAACACATATAGTCCTATAGTGGGATTTGGTGGAGAACTTCTGTGAGGGCATGCGTGCATGGGTTTTAAACAATTATCAACTCTTAAAAATCACATGAATAATTCCAAATATAAGTACTTCAGTTTAATAACAGGAAAAGTACATAAATTTCAAATTTTATTTTGTTAATGCCAAGAGTCCACGTTTGTTTTAAAATGAGGATCGTTTGTTTTAAAATGAGTGGTCCTGAATACTTGGAAATGTACTAGCAATGACAATTGCTAGTACATTTCCAAGTATTCAGGACCACTCCATTTATTTTGCACATTGGTTTTTCCACTAGAGGCTTCCTTTTTCTTCCAGCATTTCTTCCCAAATGGTCACCTGAGAAATAATTGTTAAATGGAAAGTTTGCTAGATGCTGTGGAAAGTCCCAAACCTCAAGATACCTTTTTTCTACATGTTTGGTTCAGACTTCCACTTATTTCCATTACTATCTACAGTCACTACCATCTGAGTACAAACTCCTTTTCTGTAGTCCAACACAAATGGAAAAGGCATTTAAAAAAAAATAAATTCCAGTTCATCTCACAGAAAAGCTAAAGCATAAGAATGACTAAAATGGCTATTTTTTGAAGTTTACAAGGAAGTGATACATTCCTGTGTGATTCACACTTTTCCCATCAAGCAGGGCTACAATCTAGCTGACATTAGTCATGTTTAAATGTGATTAAAAGCATTAATACTTGAATTAGTTGTAGCTAACTTGCTCTACTGGTTTCAATAGGACCTAGCTAATTTAAGCTAAATTGGGACCCGGGGGAATATTTTAGTTTAACTAAAAGTAGCATTATTACTGACTTCACTTGAAATCTGTAATTCTAAGAACTCTGCTGTTCCCTTTTACTTACATTATAATCAGGAAATACACATACATGTATATTTCTAAGAAAAAAGGTCCATATTTACAACTATGTCTTCTCCACCTATCCTAATGCTCAGAAAAGTTGTTTAAATTTGTAAGTCTACAAGCACAATATGTTGTGTTTTACCTCTTCATGCCTCTATTTTATTGTTCCTTGGTTCATCTCAGTACCTGTTCCTAGTACATTCTCCTTGGCACTATCACTGTACTTTCTGATTAGGAGGCAATGTGGCCTAGACAAACTGAATTATCTCAAATATCCAATTCCGTCTGTATTTATTTGAATAAAAGGGATAGCATGTATGTGGATGTATGCTAACTGTAGGCTCCAACACACTGCCTGTTGCATTTAAATATTAGTCTGACTAAATGGTTTGATTTTTCTTGTAAACCACATGTATAATCACCCAGGCCTGGTGGTGGTGGAAAGTGCTGTCAAGTCCCAGCCAGCTTAGTGTGACCTCATATGGTTTCCAAGGCAAGAGAAATTCAGAGGTGCTTTGCCATTGCCTGCCTCAGTGTAACAACCCTGGACTTCTTTGGTGGTCTCCTATCCAAAAACTAACCAGGGCAGACCCTGCTTCTGAGATCTGGCAAGATCAGACTAGCTGGGGCCATCCAGGTCAGGGCCACATATGCTAAAGCATGGTTAATTACACAGAGAGTGGAGTTAACCTGCCTTTCTTCAAAGTAAAACATCCCAAGGAAAAAAAAAATCAGAAATGTAGATTCTTTGCAAAATAAAAGAACAAAGTTTGGTCCAGTGGCACGTTTAAGCCCAACAACGTTTTACTCTGTAATGTATTCATCACTCTCCGTCTGCATACTTTTCATACTCCAACACAGCTACCCACCTGAATCTATTTGTAATAAAGTTTCTGATATAAACAGATGCTTCACTCTCCCGACTTCTTGGAATTCAGAGTCCTCTTATCAATGACAACACAGATAGTGTATGAAAACACTACTGCAGGTTCACTTCCCTCAGAGTCCTCCTGTTAAATTTTCAGTGTTTTTAAAGCTTCATTTGATTCTACAAAAAAAAAAAAGTGGCACAGATTTTCCCCCCCAAGTACAGAAACGTCTTTGGCCAACGCTGGCTCTTTGGCTTGGTAACGGAGATGAGCACCGCTCCCTAGAGTCAGATTCGATTAGCTTTCAAGCAAGGGAAACCTTTACCTTTTTAACCATAAACGAGTTGCAAATTAATATCCCGAAATCCTGCAGCCAAATATATGGGAATATACCCAGTGTTAGTGTCCTGCAGAGCCTTCCAGCCCCTTGCACCAGTAGCAACACTACCCATTATTGTGAAGCCTTTGCCCAGGTATTCACATATTTCTTCCTCAGACACTTCACTGCATCTTCAACCTG